TTTTTAAGCCTTACAACTTTTATTGGAAACATTTTTCTCTAAAATGCTCCCCCGCCGAGTTTTCTTGCCGTTGCCGAACTTATGGGACACACTGTATTATATAAGTACATATATTCACAAGATCCCAGACTCCCCTCCATATATTTTATAGGAATGTAGAACAAGTCGAGGTAAACATAAAAGTCCTAAACTATTTTGCGATATTCGCAATAATAGTCGAGATATTTATTTAAAAAATTGGTGAATGATTACGCGCGATATAGTAGATGAGCTATCAAATGGCCGTCAAACTGAACAAAAAAATCCTGTAGCATTTTGCAAATGATCACATAGATTTTTAGATATTAATTAAAGAAAATTGTTATATAATTGTGTACCATAATGCCTGGATGATAAGTTTAAATAGTATATTAATTCCAGAAATTTGTTATCAACAGATGCTTGCGAATAATTAATGAATAATCTATCAATGTCGTTACAACAGTTTGAAAATATAGTTACAAAAAGCGCTCTTTTATTTGTTTCAAAATTATACGCTGATATTACGTTATTATGATTAATAACGCATAAAATATGTAAGCATATAGTACATAAACAACTTTTACAAATTTAATATTTAGATAATAAGACATAAATATGAATGCCAAGAGAACCGAAATGTATCATCTGATATTAATTATATGTATACAATCATACGAAATGTTTTTGTTAAGTTCCAAACTAAACATAAAACATTGCAGTTCTTTATAAAGCACGGATATTTTATTACGCCACAATCTGTTAATTATATATTAATATTGCCGTTATATTATCTTCAAAACATACAAAAATATATAGAAGTATAAATGTGGCTAATAGAGTTATACAAATTATTCCTTTAAAACATATTTTAATGCAATTTTTGCAATTGCCAAACGCAATTTTGGAATTATTTTCGAGGAGATAGCTAAACATATATTTGGAAAAAAAATATAATTCCTAGCAGCACAGTTCATTGGGCCAATATTGGCAATGCATTAAATTCCCAATATTGGCTCACCATTACAAAGTAGACACCTAGAATTTTATAGCCAATATTGTATTCCTAATATTAGGCCAATATTGTATTCCAATTATTTGACCAATATTGAATTTCCTATACTGGACCAATATTGAATTTTAAATAACAGACCAATGTTGAATTCTCAATATTGCATCTATATTGAATTTACAATATTAGCGATTCACTGAAACATAATTTATAACCAATATTGGATATTGGTTGAGTTACATTGGCCCAACGTAACCCCAATGTACATCAACATTGGAGTAACTATATTATGCAATATTGGCGATTTATTGTAATTTAATATATAACCAATATTGGGTGCATATTGGGCTACATTGGGCCAATATAACCCCAATGTATGTCACCACCGCCAATGTAACGCCAATATAACGCCAATAAAATATGCTACTAGGGATGACATATTAGGTTCTACTGTTCATGGCAAAGTGTGGAAACGTATTCAAGAACAATTTGCAAAAAAATTAGCTCTATCTCAGATATTATATTTTGATGATTTCGAGATTAACAATCCTCTTGGATCTCACAGTGGAATACATAAAATTGGTATTATATATTGTACTATTTTATCTATTCCAAGTAAATATTTTAATATTATTGAAAATATCTTTTTTTGCTTCAAATATATAATGAAAAAGATCATTCGCAGTTAGAAAATGAAAATATATTTTCTAATGTGATATATCAAATTCAAGATTTGGAAACTAATGGTTTACTTATAAACTTATAAACATTAACGGTAAACAACAGACAATATATTTGGCTTTAGTAGGAATTATTTGAGACAATTTAGGGTTCCATACGATTTTTTGTTTCAATAAGTTTCAATAAGATTTTTGGTTCAAAATTTAACTCATCATATTTATGTCGAGCCCGCTTAACTGATAAAAGCACTCTTCAAATGCAGATATCAGAAAAATCAGATTTATTAAGAACACGCTTTGTTCCAGACGGCCGTTGGGTGTCCATGAGGAACGGGTACGGCGGGCGGCCGAGCCCTAGGCGCCGCTCAACTCGCGGTCGCCGGCCTCCCGCCGCCAGTGCGCGCCGTCGCCGCGACGCGGCGAGCGCGTCGGCCGGAGCCGCTTCTCGCGGTTAATTCTCGCTTAGGCGCCTATATAAGACGCCGCGCGAGACCACTCAAGGCTTTTATGCCCTTTACCTGTTGCCAGCTTTGACTGCACATCAGGTATTCTTTTACGCTCTAGCTAGCTTCAAATCGCCTTTTTGAGTGCGCAAGCACGTTGGGCACTTGCCTCACCAGAGGT